CTCTCATTCCATTGGAAAATGAATCCTTCGATCTTAAAAAGAAAATATAAGTCGCTCAAATAATATTTTTGTTGTAACAGAAAAAAATATGAATAATACGTTACACATTTCATAAAAAATAGATATAACCGAGAGTATGAAAACTACATTTTCAGCCTTTTATATTCGACTTGACAAAATTTTCCCAAAATAATAATAATGATGAGATTTTTCGGTTTAGAATTAGTTTCAAATTTGCAAATCATGTTGTATGTATTTTATTTATTTAATGCAATTATTCATAGACCTAACACCTAATTCATATTCGTATCTAAACCAACTGAGGAATGGCTTCGGTGGGTAAATCTGAGGACTCATAACACCTATTTGCAGCTAATTTGTTTATTTTAGCATATCAACGAATGGGACTAGGATAACTTTTTAAGAAAGACCATGGTTTTTATTGGAGATAAGCACTCCCACTGGTTGGGATGATGCGTGAATATTGTGCCCTAAGAAGTTTGATTATTAGATTTTTGCAAGATGTATTCCAAATATGACTAGTAAGAAGGATTATCTTGTAAGCTACGGACTTTTTATAACCAGAGAAGTTGAAGTATATTCTACAATTCTGCTTTGGAATGAATGAATGGAGTTATTCGTTTTTCTAATTCTAGCATATCAGCTACTCCTGGCTTGTGATTGCTATAAGGATCGACTCACTCCTCGTTCTGATTCACTATTACCAATGGAGTATGTTTATTATAATATATGTTTAAATTTAATTAAAAACAGACATGATTAAAATTAAAAAAAAAATTATTTAATTTTTAATTCTGCCATATAATAATTTGATGATAATAAGAAAAATATGGCGGATATGGGGAGAACCAGGACCTCTTTCCGCACTTGATTGCAGTTCTTTAACTAATGAATGATATCACACCTCTGTAGCTTTTTATTCACCTTCTCGTATTAATGAGCCATAATTGTGCGTAGAATCTTAGCCGAAGCCATATATTTTATCATTCATTGAATTTATTAAGAAAGCGGAGATCTTATTGGCCATATACAAGCCGTAATCTAATACAATTACGCGGAGTTTGTTAATACGGAAAAAATATGTGTTAATGTTTTTTTTTTTTTAATATTCATACAATTTTGGATTCAAAAGACAATAAATTTGTTTGTATAATTTTTATTATAAGTCAATATGTGCATTTAGCTTCTGTCTAATTTTCACTTTTGACAGTATGGAACGAGAGTGAAGTAAGCAACGAGTTATTGCACGTCATTGATAGAATGCAAGGTTTGAATCTAATATAACAACCTAAGGCCCTCCAAAAGGGTATCTATTAATTGGTTCGCTTATAATTTCAGCCAGAAAAATTATGCTAAATATTGACAAAGAAAATCTCTGAATGAAAAATGTAATGATAAAAATGTTTAAGAAATTGCATTAGGACTGTTTATAAATAATAGAGAGTTAGAGTTAATGTCAAATGAAAACAGACTCTAAACTTTTGTATGATAATTGAATGTTACACGAACAAGGTTGATAAAAAACAAAAATACATAAGCCGGCACAAAATATTACTTGCTTTTTGTAGTTCCTCATCCTCCATACAAAATTTATCTTTTGAATCTTGATTCATTAACTTTTTAAAAGTAAATTGGGTGAAAGAATGGAGTCCATTGCTAAAGTCAATTATTTGAAAACGAACGTTGTAAGTTGTATAATTAAGGTTTTTTTAACTAGGCCAAATAAAAAAATTAAAAGGTTTCCACGGAAGAAAAATAGTTTTGTGTCAGTATTGATCTAAAAATATTCCATTTGAAGAAATGGCGTTGAAAAGGCGGAAGGAAGCCGCAGATCCTGTTTGCCATATTGTAAGCCACAGATCTCTAGGAGTCGGCAAATATTGACTACTCCAGCTTGTACACAACCCTCTCCGCTTGGCGAACTGCATTCACCACGGATTAGATTTCCGTCACTAGCCTACGTCTCAGATATATAGCGCCAAGATTTTTTCCAGCTTTCTAGCATGAGGTTCTGTTCTAAAAAAGGTATTTCAAAAATAATTACAAAGATCCCGTTCACGAATTGAACGTCCTAAAACATTATTGGTGAATCGTATTTATCAAACTGAGCAATGGTTAAATGATGAATAGAATTATAATAATAGTAGTTACCAGAAATAGTAGGCAAGATACCACATGGAAGACGAAAAACTAGATGGATCGAAAAAACTTTATTTATCAAAGTTCAAAGACATTTAGGCTCAAATATTATTTTAAAATCTCAGGTTCAAACATATTAATTTATTACCAATGTCAAAACAAACTTTAATGAATTATAAATGAAATGAAGGAGAATTATAAAATCGATTCCTATCTTGCGCAATAGACAACTGAGTGGACTCTCCAAGGACTTCTAAGAATGGAAGCAATGGTTCTAGCCATATTTGCATCTGTAGGCGGATACAGCCCCAGCGGTGCATTGTCCCTATATCACTGTCAAGGCTGGAAAACAAGACGATCAACTATTGCAAGCTATCTTGCATAACCGATATACATATTCGATAGCAATACATTTTTTCTTCGTTTAATCCATTGATTAACAACAATGTGTTCCTTGAACGTTGAAGTTTAACTTGTTTAAAGATATTATTCCACGTTACAGACTCCTTTTTCAACCAATTATTAACATCCGTATACAATTTTGTGATTGGATTCATCTTATAGCAACAGACAACTTTTTTTATTTAGGAAAATAACCGGCAATGAAAAGTTTTCTATCTGGAGATCGATAAGCTTTGAATATTTAATGAGACAATAAAACTCGTGGACACCCATCTGCTTACCTTGGATCGTAAGTTAATTTTTTTTTGTCTATAAAAATGTATTTGTGCCTGTCAACTTTTTGTTGAAAAGCAGCAAATGTGGTGGAGATACAGGAAATAATTACATGTCAGGCATGGGGAAGAAAAGTACTCAGCAGTATCTCTTCCCTGACATGTTTCAATTACTTAGGTTGTTTAAGGAAGGAGATCTCTCATCCAACGCCTTTTTTGTCTCCTCCTCATGTTCTAAGGTATGTCAGCTGTGTCCATGTCTCTTATTAATCAGTCATTATGTCCGTTTAAATCGTTGATGAATAGTCGATATTGATTGGTCAACTGTTGGATGGTGGAGGTCAGTATGAAGACATACTACCTAGTCACGTACCAAGGTACTTTTGTTATGAGTCGCAATAATTTTGATTGGAAGGTTTGAAGTTTTTGTAGGTGGGTCTTTTTAGCAATACTGTATGTTTGTGATGATTATGTCCATATGGGTTTAAGTAAGTATGTATATGTATTCAGTATCTGTCTCAGTTTTAGTTTTGAAGATTTAGCAAAAAGAGGGTAAAGTAGTTTGGGTCATTTGTTAAGTGTCTTACGTTTCATTTTTACATGCGGTCCCGATGTCATCTTTGTATCAAAGGTGAGCCCCAGGTAAAGTACCGTGTCCGTTTGAGTTTTGTTGTCAATACAAACTGGAGGGCAGATATTTTTAAAAACACCATGAAAAAAAATTTGTAGAACAACAAAATGACCAATGGCTAAAAATATATTTGATAGAAACCGTTTTATGGATTTTCATAACTTTTTTTTTTAATAACTCGGTATGTTTTAAACTAACTATGAAGAACTAAAGTGTAAACGAGATATTTAATTTTTTTCTCTCAGTATTCGTAGTATAAATATTTTTTTAATTTATTTATTTCTGGGGTTAGCCCACATATGAATAGAGTTGACCTCATTTCTATATAACAATGATTAATTACAAATAATTAACAAAATAATTGAAATGAAGTACCAAAATTATAATAATCATTTCTAAAGAAAGATTATATATAGATGAATATATAATCTTTTCTCTAATTATAAAAAAATATAAGATACAAATATATATATATATATATATATATATATATATATATATATATATATATATATATATATATAAATAAATAATACAGTCGTTTTACATGATAAATGGAATGATGTACTTTTAATTAATTGAATAGAGTAATCACGATCGAAAACTAATTATGTATTCATAATAATACGTTTTATTCATAAGATGCTATAATAAATTATAATACAATTTATATTATACAATATATAACACATTACAATATATTAATATATCATATTAATCTCATTATTTTATTAAAAATTTGTACTAGATAGTGTTTTACAAATAATCGTTTCTTTTTTTAAAAATAATTATTGTATATATTATTTATTGTATATATATTATTTTTTTGCATAATTTATTTTATTTATTGTACATATAGTGTGAATGTGATCTGTGAACTCTATTATAAATGTCCTAGAGACAGATTGTAATATTTTTCAATAAAAAAAAAAAAAAAAAATGAGATTAATAAATGCATACAACGTTTTACAATGATATATGAGAGAGAATTACTATAATTTAAATAAACTTTTGAAAAAAATTGAGATGAGCCCTTTCTGTATAGTCGAGAAAAACGTACTCATATACCTGTATAGAATAGAACAAAATGCTGAGTGTGATTAATCTATTGATTTTTATACGTTGATTCAATTTTATTATTTTTGCTCTATGTCAAGTATTTAAACTAAAATCGACAGCTGTTATGGCTTTCGATTCGGCATATTTTACAGCGTTTAAAAAGAGACCAGGACTAAAATCCAGACTCTGATAGATGTATTTTAATATGTTTTCAATTTGTTGGTTGTCGCAAATAATACATCTTGGTTTCATTTTGTTTAATTTTCTCCTATTATATTATTGCAAAATTATAGTTTAAAATGAAATAATGTCAATGTTATTTATTGTACTACATGTGAGCAGTACTTTCAGTTTACGTTTCACATCAACATAGGAACTGTCTATTAGTACAATACTAGATCGTAGCCAAATAGGAGAGCAATGACATCACCACTAGGCGTGATTTGAATACCAATTAAGCCTCAAGAGCTTAAAAAATGTTTGCTATAGCGGAGCAAAAGATTGAAACGTTGTTACCTCTCCCTGAAGAAGACGGTAAGTGACGTCAATATTCTCTGAGTATTTATTGAAGCCAAGAAAACGATTTTTTTTTTTCAAAATTTTAATATTCCAAATATAACTGTTTAATTGTATTTATAGTTTACAATTTTGCTCCAAAATCTGATTATATTGTCGGTATAAAATTTATCTTTTGGTTGCATATGATTAAAAGATTCAATAAGTTCAAAAAGTTATTTCAATATAAGAGTAAAAATAAGGAATATCTGTGACTATTTCTACAGTATTTATTTTGATTAAAGGACCTTCATTATACATATAAGATAAAATTCTCAATTTCGAAGAAATTTGTTGAGAAATTGTCATTGCCGGCAGAAATACGGTAGTTATGACATTACTTCCCAAAATGAAGTTATTATTAAATGGAATTCCCTTAAAAATAAAAAAAAAAACACTGAAAATTATTACACAATGGTTTATTATTGCCAAACAATTATACAACGAAACGAAACATTACCTTCCTGATAACATAAATCAAAATAAATAAAAGGTGATTTATATTATTTGTCTAAATATTTTTTTTTATATTTAGGCCTAATTATTATATTATATTTATAAATTTTTTTTCATCATTAGTAATTTATTAAGAAAAATTACATTGATTAATGCTTCCAAAAATAATAACCAAAACAATGGATATGACATATTTGGATTAGAACATATGAAGAATGTCTACAACACCACATTTTTATCCCTGATTTCAACTTTTTTTTTTGTATTTTAGGAAAATTCGAATGCTTCAAAAATTCGTCAAGTGTGTACCTCTTGAGTTATTTGGAAATCATATTTTACCACCCCTCGTATCTTTGTTCCAGCTCCTTTTCGTTGAAGTATGTTTTATATATATATATATATATATATATATATTATATATATATATATATATATATATATATATACATATATAAAACTTTTTAAGGGCATCGAGAAGAAGACTTTAGCCAAGTTTATTGAAATCGGTTCTTTCTTTAAGACGCTAGTCTATAGGAACACAGGTTTTTCGGCAACCATGTTGAAAGGAAAAGATGGATAATGATTTCGAGGTAGGAGGGTCATCCTCGGGTTGTTTTTGAACAACCGAAATTTGAAACAAATCGGTCCAGTGGTCACGGCGAAAATGCGCGGACGGTGGCGGACCAGTGGACAGACAAAAAACATTTTTATTCGATTTTCGAGTCCTACTTGTCCTGAAACGTATAAACTCAAATTTGTAGGGGGGTTTGAGTTTTTGAATTTTTTTGACAATTAAAATGGTCCATTACTGGAAATGAACCTAATTTTGGAAAAGATTTTTTTTTTATATTGAATTTCAGAAAAATGTTTTCCACATCATCACAAAGGCGTGTTAATCAAATCAACCTCATATTATAGTATAAACAAAATTTGAACAAATAGAACTTTACATAGGTAAAATAAATTAAAAAAACTATTTGATTTACTCAATAATAATACCAATTATTTTGCCTCATAAATTAATGATAAAATTGTATGATTTGCAGTTACATCATTGTTCTACCGGATGAGCGATATGAATCATTAGTCAATACAACAGGAATCGATTGTGTCCAAGAAATAATTATGGGTATTAAAACAGAATGAGAATACTGATCAATAATGTCAATGACTGAAAATGAAAAGGTTAAAACGAATGCTTCAGGAAGTAAAGAATGGGAAGGGACGCTTTAATTGGTCCAGCCAAACAAGAAAGAAACTTTGACAGGCAACTTTAATGGAACTGAGTCTTTAAATTCTTTCTGGTTTCCGTTTTCCTTCTCAACAAATTGTATTACTCAGCTATAATATAGACAAGCTCCAATGATGACATATTTCAAATTTATTTAAATACTAGGGGGTACCTAACGGCGGGCCTACCCCCAATTTACAAATTATATAAATGTTCATTTAATTGTACAACTCGTTGCTCAAATTGTATAACTTTAATTTACATGTATTCTGTAGTTAAGATTGTAGTATTTGATATGAACACAAAAAAGATAATATTTACCGTAAAAATTTTGAGTCTAAAATCTTTATTTCGTATTAGGAGGGTAGGAGGTAACTTAGGCTTAACCATGTGTAATTAAATAAGTAGCTGTATAATTTGCAAAGTGATTGCCGAGCTCCTATTATCTCCCACTATCCTAATACTAAAATAAAATAAATTTAACAGTTAACATTAAAATTAAGATTACTTTCCCCGTAAAATTAAGAAAAATAAATAAAAAAGGATTTCTAACATTGGCCTTCATATTTTTCTTTTTTATCATTCATAATTTGCTTAAAAATCCGGTGGGTGCAACATATAACTTTCACTTACCGCTCTCCTTTGAATAGAAATGGTTTTCTTGCATTGTTGGGCAATTATAAAATTTTTGAAGTTCCTTTTTGGACAGAACTAACGTTCAAGCTTACAGATAATAAATCATTAAGACCATTAAATTACAATAAGTCTATTTATTACATCGACGGTAAGCAATAAAAATCTAGTTACTCCATCAGTTTTTATAAACCACACGTCAGTCAGTCTGTGAGGCTTTCAGTTAACAGAATGACTAACTCCAATTTCAACATTTTTGAGTTATGCCATTTTAGTGATATTTCTAGTTGGAAAAGTTGTATCTAAACATGCAGTGAGTAAGTTGATTTCAGACTTGGTGATTGCAGTATTGAAGTATAGAACTGCGAATAAAGCTATACATTTTGCCACTAGAAACATCACTAAAATTAATAATAAAGAATGTTGAAATTGGAGTTAGTCATTCTGACAACCAAAAGGTTCATATATGCCTAGAGCCATTTGAAAGTATATCTGAATATTTAACGTATAAATGATTATCGATTGTAGGACTATTAGTTATTAAACTGTTATTTTCCATTGTAAAGTTTACTGAAATGAAATTATCCGATTTTTATTGTCTGTCATAGATAGGTCAAAAGTTGTCACACTAATTGTAAGTGGATAATGTTGGGATTTCACTAAGAGAAAATTCATCAAATTATTCACTAATCCAATTTTCTAAAATGTTACCTGATGATTTTTTTGTAATAAAAGATAAATATATACCTAATTATTTAAATATAATATCATATCTAAAGTTATTAAACTAAAGTAAATGTATTTAAAGTTATAAACATATTCATGAAACATTTTTATAATTCACTTCTTCTTCACACAAGTGCAATGAAATAGTATTTTAAACAATGGTATTGGCTTGATTCGATGGATTTTAAGTACTTTTTTTTCAAACTTAGAAAAAATTTAAATGTTTACGTTTAGTAGGAAAATGTCATTTAATTTCCTTGGAAATAATAGATTTACGTTAAATAATGTTAGTTTTCTTAAATTATTATCTATATATTTTTTGTCACTCTCCGTCACCGTCTACAACCTTATTTATTTGATATTATTTTTTTAGAAATTCTCCGCTTCAAACTTCATATTTAGCCATTTTTTATAGTTACTGTCAATAAAAGCGAGTTAATTTTTTTTAAATTCACCATAAATAAAGGTACTTCAGAGGAAGACGTATCTGAATATTGGGCATTTAAGCCCTGTAAAGTGACATCAATGGGGATATGACCTAAATGATATTAAAGACCACTTACTTATACAATGATAGACCGAGTTTAATCAAAAACGACTCTAACGTTTTTGAGTAAATTGTAAAAATGTGTTGCACCGTTGATATAAAGTGACACATAGATCATTTTACGGTACTTGGTTATTTGGACTCGGAGGATCTCAAAACATGTATTTCCGTTGAAAACTCAGATTTAAAATTTTTCATAATCGCAATACTTTCCCTCAATATATATTACATATATAGATAAGTGAAATTAATATGAGAGTCACAAAAACTGTTGTATATAATAAAGAAATTTAACAGTTGCTCCTAATTTAGAAAACAATACACATTAAGTTTTTTTAAGAAGTTTTCAAAATTAAATATACAATTGTGATCAAGCACGTTTAGCAAATTCAGGTCGGTTACAGAGGAGGATTGTAAATAAAGACGACCCATCTCGACTAGGGAAGATTTCATTTAAACTGTGAAAGATCTCTCAACCCAATTTATTTTAGAAGATGCCATGGATTAATGGATAACAGGGAGGAAGAAACGGTAATTATAAGAGGATTATGGTGGTATGAAAATAAAGCTCGAATATTCGTTTATCTATTTTTTATATAATTTTTCAAATATTTATTTCGAAGATATAGCTTGTGTTGCTTGATATAACGGTAGAATGCCACTAATACAATCGATACAAATTTAGGTGTGTGAAAAAAAAACAAAAAAATTCATAATTTTTCAAGAGTACTTAAAAATATGAGAAATAAGGTAATTTTAACTTTTCAACCATTTATAAATTTTTATAATTTGTATAAAAACTAAAATAAATTTCAATAGAATTTATAAATGTATAGATAATAACATAAATAGTTTTTATTCTTCCCTAAAGAATTTATAAATGTATAGATAATAACATAAATAATTTTTTGACTGACCACCCCAACTATTCTTCTCTTCATTATCCACGACAGTCAACCATTTACCAATTATGAATAACATAAATAATTTTTATTCGTCCCTATGGAATTCATTACATATAAACTTTGGAAAACTTAATTTGAGTTTATAAAAAATAGTATTCACCAACATCACTGATTTTGAAAACAATATTTTTCTAAGCAATCACAGTTAATAAGGTTAATGCTTACTGTTGAGATATGTGACAGTTAACATGAGAGCACGATAGCTATGGCAACCGCGCAAACATATATACCTATTATAATATTTGGTCACAAACTAAGATTAAATTTAATATCGTAATTTTACAATGATGGAGACTGGCTTATAGTTTAAATATAGAAATTTTCAACTATATTTGAAACAATATAACTCTGGAACCGATAAAGTCTGTTACCAAATTTGTCCCAAACGTTTTCATTATAAAAATATATAAAATGTGTTAGTTTTCACTCAGTCTCTTTTGTGTTATTCAAACTCGAAAAAAGCCGAAAAAGATTTTTAGCCATTTTAAAATTTCATAATTAATTTCATAATTTCATAAAAATTCATTTTAAAAAACGACAAAGCTTTTAAAAATTCAATTACTTCAGCATGTAGTACATTTACAAAAATGTAAGAGCTACAAAAAAAAATTAAAATCCAAAATGAGTTTCTTTTCATCAATATATTATTAATGTGCTAAAAGGCTCGTTGTCCAAACCTCCATCCCTGTTAGATGATGGATTGAAAAACAAAAAAATGAAGAGAAAAATCATCATTATTTCAGTTTTTATTTTGGTGTTAGATATTTACTAAGTTTTTTGATTTAGAGATTTTCCCAAAATACGTTTTCAGTCGAAAAGCAAATTCAATATTCAACATGGTCTGAGTGATTTCAAATGGATTTACTACGACAAAGTATAATGTAATGATGTTAATTTTTTTTTCTCCTACCTCACCTTTTAGATCATACGAGTTTTTTTCCAAACCAAGGAGAAAGCGGAGGAAACCATGTCATAGTTAAAAGTTCCCCTCGGCTTCAGGTGTTGAACTCTTAATACTCGGTATACCAGGTTGACGGGCAATGCGTTATGCACACGCTCGGACCTCTCGCTTCATATGTTACGTATTTTTTTATAAAATAAATTTAATAATTTGTTACGACTTTAAAATTAGAATCGTGTTTAAGTTTAGGCTTTTGTTGCTACTCCCCCCTTCCGTCGAGTCAGCATTCAATTACAATCTATTGAATTTCAACCTTCATTCCTGTTCATCGACATTTAACAATAGCACTTATAATGTTTTTGTTATGTTAAAAAACATAATGTTTTTCAGTTAATTCTGTTCTTAAACATCGAAAATTAAAAAAAAAAAAATTGAATAAATAAAGAAGAGAAAAATATCGTTTTAATATTTTAATATAATAAGAGAATTAAATAAAAAAGTACTCATTAACCTCAAAGTAAGGAGCAGGTTATTGCAGCTGGAACGCAAATAACAGCATTCAACTTATTTTTTTTTTAACTCCAGAATTCAAAGAAAATCTAATTTGTATATTTGAACAGCGACCTTCAAAGGCTTTCTGTAGATTATTATTTATAAAATAAGAGTTAGACCTGCGTAAAAAAAAAAGAATAGCATTTGTTTAAGTTAAGAGGCTTTAGAGAAAACGTATCTACCCTTGTTTATTTGCATAATTAAATTTACACTTTAGGCTTATGCCTTTGTTATATTGGCAGTGGGAATTTATTTCAAAAAAGCTCTTTCTGACTGCAAGAAGATTATAAAATTGAAATTTCTTTTATCTCTGTTTTCTGCGTTATGTTTCTAACTATCTGGACGTAATTTACAAACATATGAACGTGATATTTAAAACAATTATTAACCACTTTTAATTGTCGTTTTTTTTTAAATTAATATTTTATTTAGCACCAGTGACGCGGTTGAGAGAGTAGCGCAGGGATCTCTTGGAGTCCTGCTTTTCCTCCTATAGTTGGGAGAGAAGCCTGTCTTGGGGTTCCCTGGCTAG